TGCTGTATTGACAGCTTGATGGGATGTATCGGTCAGCATATGACCGTTAATTGCTGTTTGGAACAAGATAGATTACTATTATTAAAAGCTGAAAACCGATTTTTTTCTATCAAACAAAACAAGATGGAAAGATATAGCATAATGAAGCCTGTATTAGTAGCTTTTATTTGATATGTAACACAGTTAACATTGAATCATTAAAAAAATGAATATTTATATTTTTCTATGAAAATACCAGTTAATCGCCTGATGACTGAATTTGAAAATGTTCCCCCACTTAGATTTTTCTAGATTTTTGATATGATGTTAAGGAGTGCTTGTTAAATATGAATCAACTAAAAACATTTCTGTTGCAATTTGTGGTTGGTCTCTCTTTATTTTGACCGGACTAAGACAAGATTTGGTCTTCACACATTGTATCCATGAGGGGGAATCGAACCTTCGGCTCGACGAGCGAACGCTTTAACCACTAGGCTTCCCCGCCGCCCCGTTTAATCTCTGGAACTATGAATTTGAACAATTGTACTTAAATAGGGCGTGTTTGTTTGAAGCGCCTACCTCGTCATCCCTACCTCTGCAGGGGCGTTATGGGTAGGTCAGGAGAGGTGGAATGGAGTTTAACGTCGCGTTCAAGATTGTTGCATATATAAAGAGACGTGCATGCACGTGAGTGTGTGTTGTGTTGTGTGTGTCCGAGCCGACCAGTCCTTGTCTTAACCCCTTAATACCGCGCGCCAGGCAGGGAAACAAAGTACCATCTCCTACCATCTTTTGGTATAACGCGTCCGGGGATCGAACCCCGGAGCTTTCGCTCTCCGGGCAGACGCTCTGCCACATGCCATGGAAGCCATTATGTGAAATCTGTATGCCTGATAAGGCAAATTACTGTTTGGCCACGATAATATGATGATCCATTAATTGCTATGTCTTTGTTCTTTTCTAAAACAATATTTATATTGCTTATAGTGGTGTGTGGTCAGGTAGCGACAGGTAGGTGCCATCTTTACTCGCACTTTGGTATACCGGGTCTGTGGATCGAACCCCGCTCTCCGGGCGCTCTATCCATTAGGCCATGTATGCGGTCCATTCTGGGTAGAGGTGGCGTCCAATATTAGTGAGTGAGTGAGTGAGTTGGGTTTAACGCCGCTTTTAACAGTGTTCCAGTTATATCGCGGCGTGTCAGCTTAATGTGAGAGGAAAGCCCGAAGTGATGCAAGTCTCAGACATTTACCACTTCGGTGAAACCCACGAGCACGGGTATGGTGCTGACAAACCTAGAAACATAATCGGGGCGAACCGGGATCCCAACCCACAATCATAGGTTTCTGGCGTGCCAAAGGGACGCAACTCTGCACAGCGATTCGCGGCGCCTTAGACGACTGGGCCACCCGTGCCCCCGCGTCCAATATTAGGCTTAATTGAGGAAGCTCGGAAGCTCTTGTAGATTTATGTTATACATTGTAATTCATAGTTGCTTGTATTGTTGTGTCTTTGTGCGAAATGTCTGACAAAGAACATGATGTCTCGAACATCAGTGGAGTAGTGATATTCAGTGACTATCATCCATTCACAGCCAGATCCCGCCGCTAAAGTTCGCATGAACAAGACGGCCGACCAATCGTTATCCTGTGCTGACAGAACTTAGGTACAACGTTGATTTTAACAACGAAAGTAGACCGAAACATTTACATTATTAACTTGGTCACGACCGGTGCCAGGTTTGTTGTGATGTGTGACAGGAAGGGGAAAGGTTGAAGTAGTCCATCCAGTGCTGGCCAGGTATGCACGATGGTTGCCAAGGTGTGGCGCGCCGTCGTAAAATCACTGCGGTCTGTTCAAAACGCCTCGCGTTTTCTTTATAGGAGGTGAGGTAAAATGGGGCTAAACGTCGCGTTCAATACTATTGCACTTATTTTGCGACGTCTATGGAAGTTTGTGTGTGTTTGTGTATGTGTGCGCGTGCGTGTGTATGTGTGTGTGTGTGTGTGTTGTACTATGTCGGATAAATTCCGGTTTTAAAGTGCTACCACAGAGACACCTTTGCAGCAATTTAACATAGATACCCCACTCAGAAACAGTATACTGACTTTGAGCTGGCCAGTCCTTGTTGTAGCCCCTTGTTGCCGGGCGCCAGGCAGGGTAACGACTAGTACGACCTTTTAACGCCTTTTGGTATGATGCGGCCTGGAAATCGAACCAGCGACTCCCCGGGCCGACGCTCAATACACTAGACAACTAGACTACTGGGGCAGTTTCTACCAATGCGAGTTGGACCCGACGCATGTATCCGGGTCATATTTATATCAGTCTTATACACAGCTAAAATACCCAAAACTGTGTAACTATGTCACATAACACAGTATGATATATTTTAATAATTATTTCAACCAGCTTCTTCAAGCGTTTTAAGGGGGCAGGGGGGCCCAGTCGTTTAAGGCGCCGCGATTCGCTGTGCAGAGTTGCGTCCCCTGGCCACGCCAGAAACCTATGATTGTTGGTTCGAATCCCGGTTCGCCCCGATTATGTGTCTAGGTTTGTCAGCACCATACCCGTGCTCGTGGGTTTCACCGAAGTGGTAAACGTCACAGACCTGCATCACTTCGGGCTTTCCTCCCACATTAAGCTGACAGGCCGCGATATAACTGGAATACTGTTAAAAAGCGGCGTAAAACCCAACTCAGTCACTCCATCACTCTTCAAGCGTTTCATACCTGTTATTTATGTACACAAATTCCCCAGCACACAGGCAATGGTTTAAGCTCATTTACTTCAATACTTAAGGAAGTACGTTGTTAGAAGTATTTGTGATAAAGTAATTGATGTAGTGTGTACAGTTTGGTATGAGGATGTAATATCAGTGCATAAAATTCACCAATATTTCAGTCAGACAACCGCACTGGCAACATTGCAAAGTTAATAGACAAGATTAAATGTTGCCAGTCCTCATTTTGTAGACTAAAGAACAAAAGTAATAAAAGGGTAAACATAAGAATAATACTGTTAATGTTAGTTCTCAGAAAATAACAATTCACTGGTGGATTGTTAACTTTGTAATTTTATTAAACTCCCGCCCATCGACCGTGCAACTTTTCCAAACTGACCGTCTGTCAGCAAAATAGACCGTCTCGGAATGTCGGGTATTTTAAACACTGGTATTATTGTGGATCTTCTTTAACTTGTTTTGAGAGGTATATACATTTTAATGCATCTATCACATAGAAGGAGTATGCATTAAATGTTGTTTCCATTCGTCGTACACAAAAACACGGAATGACGTACACGTTAAGGAGTTAGGCTGACGGACGGCATCCATTCGTAACCAACTCGTGTCATTCCGGGACAAGCCGAATAGCGACTCGTGCCCCTCTGGTGGCCATTTTTGCGACCGGGTTCCGTCTTAGCGCAAACGGGCATACCTAAAACAATTGTCAACTCGTTGCGTAAAGGTTCACACATTTTCCCCAGATTTCCCACATTTTTTCAGATGCAATTTAAAGCACATCGGTACGTGCGGAATTATACAGTATGAATGAACACATTTAACTGTGTTTTTGGTATATTTTTAGATGCAAGACATATATAAATTCAAAAATTATTTCTGAGGGATTCTTGGACGAAGAACTTGAAATCATACGCGCATTCTGATTGGTTTGTCGTATTTTCGCACATAACATTCATCGATAGGGGGACGAGTCTTCTTGCAGGTTACGGAAAGGGATGAGTGGTGACGAATGGGACGGCATGAACATCCGGGGATATTGATCGGCTTGCCCACATTCGGTGTGGATTAGGAAGTGCTGTGATGTATTTCTAAACCTTGCTGTGTGGAGTGATAACTACAACGGCGAGTCTCTCAGGTCTTTATACATCGTATAACGTTGGAGTGGGCTCCTGGTACAGATGAACCATGGTTTGGGAGACGGAGGTGTAGCAATAGTGAAGCTGTGTTGACGGTTCTTGATATTTTGAAATGAATATATGGATCCGTGTTGGCATGTCACTTCAAAAGCTTCAAAGTGGTAAACGAGAGAGCGAGAGAATGAGCGTACAGGGTTCTTGAGTAAAAACGTTGGATTGCAAAACTATTGGTGTGTATATTCAGGATACAAGTATTTTTGTCACATAAGGGGCGCCCGGTAGCCTAGTGGTTTAAGCGTTTGCTCGTCACGCCGAACGCCCGATTTCGATTCCCCACATGTGTACAAAGGTTCACGATATCCTATTCCATCAGGTCACGTCAGAAAGACCTTTCGCGAAATGTGACCGATCAATGAGGTGGCTGACCAGAGGTTCAATTAGCCAATCAGAAAGCTTTATGGCACAAGTTTCACACCGACGACTTCAATTCCATTCCTACGCCTTGACGAATATTGATTCAAAATTTGAAAACTGAAGAAAAGAAACATCTGGAATGTGTTTTACATGGCTGAGATTGCTAGCAGTACATCCCACGGGTTGTGAAAGTAACTTCCGTTTCTAATACTTACCCCATTGACGCGAGAGATAGACGATGATTTTGATAGAATCAGTCGTACAGTAACCAGAATACCTAGTGTTAACCTTTTCGAAGTGCATGATCAGAAACACATTCCGACTGTCACTTTCCAGATCCTGTGAGCGACTTGGTGGAAAGTATACCTTTTATAGGCGAGCGCTTTCAGCACACTGTGATTGTGGTATTGTTATCAGTTACAGCTTACTATGGATTAATATTGATGCTATCCCGCTTAGTTCATTATATTCAATACTATAAAATCGTGTCGTGAGAGGTGACTAGCGGAATCGGGCGGTCAGGCTTGCTGACTTGGTTGATACATGTCATCGTATCCCAATTGCGGAGACCGATGCTTATGATGTCAATCACTGGATTTGCAAAACGCCATCGCATAGCTGGAATATTGCTGAGTGCGGCATTAGACAACAACCAAACAAACAACAATAATTGAACTCTCTGCAAATGTCAAATGTTTTGTCACAAAAGGATAACTAAACTGCATGTTGTTTGGTTTATTCGTGGACACGATCAGCACTGGCCGCAGCTGCGTCTACACGAGGTCAACATGTAGCCGGGGTTCCGTCCACACTCCCCTGTACTTGACCAGCTGCTACAGTTGGGGTTGGAATCCACACAAGACACACCTGAAATTACGAAATCAAAAATGGTTACTCGTTTCGTTACAGGTGTAATTTTGAACACCGAAGATGACACTAAAAGTAACACTAATGGCACTACTTCTTTTTTTAAATCGGCAATTTCCGGTACTGATCGAAACTCCTCGGATTGATTAGTTAGCACTATTGGGTAGGTTAGTGACTTTTATAATCATTATGACATAAATCTGTACACTGATAGTCTGCAGATAATGTATTTCCTCCTTTTTTCTACATACATACGAGGACACACGGATTCTGACGGTCCTAATGGACACAGGGATTCTGACGGCCTTGATGGACACGAGGATTCTGATGGTCCCAATGGACACAAGGATGCTGACTGTCCTGATGGACACAAGGATTCTGACGGTCATAATGGAAACGAGGATTCTGACGGTCCTGATGGACACAAGGATTCTGACGGTCCTAATGGACACAAGGATTCTGACGGTCCTACTTGACACGAGGATTCTGACGGTCCTAATGGACACGAGGATTCTGACGGTCCTTATTGACACAAGGATTCTGACGGTCCTAATGGACACAAGGATTCTGACGGTCCTAATAGACACAAGGATTCTGGCGGTCCTAATGGACATAACTCTACCAAACGATTGCTGCACTCAATATTTGTAAATAATGCATTTCCTCCTTTCTGCTACATACATAGTCGAACGAGTAGTGTTTAACATCATAGGATTCTTGTGCGCCTAGGGGACGCAACTTTGCCAAGCGATTGCGGCACCTCAGACGACTCAATCTCATTAAAATCAGATCTTAGTTCTTGCTACCACTCAGCAAAGATCTGAAGACGACTGGGCCACGCCTGGTGAAACATTATGAGACAAGAAAACTGATTGTCGAACCTCCACATTTGTTGCAACTTCGTCTACAGGAGACGTCCATGTAGGCAGAGTTGGAGTCACACTCTCCTTGAGCCGCCCACGACTTGCAGTGAGAATTTTTGTCCTGGCACGTGCCTGAAACGGAGACAACTGGTGTTTCACTCAGGACATATCATTTGTGTAAGTTTCTTGTATCTAGTTGTCTCTTGAATTGTAAATGTATCCCATTCGACTTTTCTTACCTGAACCAGTTCCACTTCCAGCCCCCGCTCCCCCTCCCCCACATTTGCTGCAACTTCGTCTACAGGAGACGTGCATGTAGCCAGGGTTGGCGTCACACTCTCCTTGAGACGCCCACGACTTGCAGTAAGAGTTGTTGTCTTGGCACGTGCCTGAAATGGCGATAACTGGTATTCACCCAGGACAGATTATTTGTGCAATTATCTTGTAGCTTGATATCTGTCCTTGAATTGTAAATGCATCCCATTCGAGAGTGTCCATACCTGAACCAGTTCCAGTTCCGGTTCCAGTTCCAGTTCCGGTTCCAGTTCCATTACCGCCTCCCCCACTGTCTGTGCCATCCCCGCCCCCGAGGTTACAGTTCATCCTGAGTTGCTGGCTTCTCTCAGCACCTGCAACATCAGCATCATATACATCACAACCCACGACCATACAACGAGGTCACGGAGGAAACAGCTGCAAAATGATACATGTTATTGCTGTTCTTGAAAATTGCCCCTCTTTGAATAATACTGTTCAGTGTCCATTTGTTCCAGTTTTAGTAGACGAACTTGACGTTAACAAACACAGAGCACATTAATCCTATGTTGAGTTTGAAATAGAAGTGTGGGAGTTGGAACATTCCTTTGAACAGTGTTTCAGTAATATCAGCGTGTCATCTTTAAGCGCGAGGACAGTCCGAAGGGGAGAAGGTTTTAGATCACTTTGGTGAAACCAACGAGCAAAGGTATGTGCTGACAACCCAAGAATCATAATGAAGGGAGAATCTGGGATTCGAACCTACTGTCGCTCTTTGAGGTACGCCCAAGGGACGCAACTCTTTATAACGAACAAAGGCGCAGCGGACGTGATCAAAATAGATGCTTGTCTTCACAGCATACTCAAACGGCGGACCAGGTGGTCAGGCTCGGGTGGTTTGGCTATTTGCTTGTTATCGCACCCGTTGGTCGGTGCTCATGACTTCAATTCCTGGTTTGTCTGTCAAGGACACAAATATTTGTTGATGTGGGAGAAAAGAATGAACACAGGTAGGGTGCTAACAAACAAAGCATCACAACTACACCCAACTTGAACCAACGACCAGGTCCGCCACTCTACGGCATTTCAGACAACTGGATCACCTACGCCCCCGTAAAGCAAAGGAACGATAACATATCACAGGCGGCTTACTTCTGGTCGTATTGCATCTCTTCAGGTACGTGTTGCCGCACGGGAATACCTCCTGTATGAGAGAGAAGAGCTGGGGGTCGTAAGGCCGAAGTTTCTCGCGGGTGTTGACGTGGTTGTGGATGCCGTTAGGGACGGCGGAGTAAGCGTTGACGTTGAAGTAGCTTTGTGTCCCTTCCGCCTGAAAAGAGAGGGAGACAAATTGTCAGGTGTAACAGAGATGACATACTTAACACATCAACTCAACACCATGGTAAAATGTACCGTTACTGGTCTACCACCTTTGTTCCTTAATTCACGTTTTTCTACGTGTAAGACAAGAGAGCAGAGTCACGGTCACGGGCCACGTTCACAGTCCAAGTCACGGCTACTGTCACAGGTCACGGACAGGGTCACGATGACAGTCAAGGTCATACAAAGGTCTGCCATGGTCGCAGTGATATCAAATACATGTTTTTATACCCGTGAAGATCCGGGTAGAATAGATAATCATGCTTGTCGTAAAAGGCGACTGTGCTTGTCGTAGGAGGCTGAGTGCGGCGTTAAACAACAAACACCAGTATGCTAGAAAAAGACATTATTATTTACAAGCCCCCGTGATATAGTCAGTAGATTGCTGTCTGTGCAGAGAACTTGAACAACACGCACACACCGCGCACGCACGCACGCACGCACGCACGCACGCACGCATGCACGCATGCACGAACACACACTGTGACGTTTCTACTTACAAAGTATTCCTCCACAGTACTCATGGCGTATGTGTTGCGCCACCTACCGGCAGCTTTGGCCTGGTCGTATAGCGACTGTAGGCGTCTCTGCCAGCCTGGAATGGCGTACTTGGCGCCCAGCAGATGGATGCCATGGGCGAATTCGTGCAGGAAGATGTCCTCGACCCGATACCTGAAGGTATTTTATGTAAGGTTGATTCAGTCCCATCGGCCGTTTTCTGATTCTATCTTGCTTTGTTTTTTCTTTCATAATTATTGCTCTCGTGAGAATCACTTTTTTCAAAGTGATACCATGACAGTTTGATTTAAAGCGGGTTTTTGTTTTTGTAATAGTAGCCTTTGCATTCTTTCTTTCTTTCATGGCAAGTTGTTTTCATTATTATTGGTATTATTGTTATTATTTTTACTATTAACAGATTAAAATAGATAAAAGCAGCAAAGAGGGTTTGGGTGATCCTGGCACAGTCAGGCTGGTTAAGCTCATCATCAGCTCAGGGCCCTTGCCCCTTACTACAGGCAGCCCAGACAGCGAATGGGACTTCTCCCAGGAAACCACATCAGGTTTTTTATTATTATTAAAAGTAGTAGTAGTAGTAGTAGTAGTAGTAGTAGTAGTAGTAGTAGTAGTAGTAGTAGTAGTAGTGCCATACCTGTCCTCAGTGTAACACAGGATGTTCTCTTCGCCTCCCGTTGATACTGGGGCATGTTCCGTTGCCCCAAGTCCACGTGCTCTGGCGTTCCAGGCGGACCCCAGCCAAGCGTGTTCTGGAATAGACACTGTCCCTTCCCGAGCCCCTATCACTGCCACCCTTCCCGATAGTCGGTAGTAGGACTGTCGCACACCGCTGTGGTCGGCGAGGAGGAAGCGAAGGACGTAACAGGCGCGGCGGAGAGCGTCGTCGGGGACTTTACCGGAAGCTGCGATACAGACGGGTATTTCATTAATCCTTGACCTTTATGTTACTCTTTTTCAAAACCATAAACAATAATTAAAATTGCAACAGAAAATTAAATTGAGAAAAACTCGAATCTCTTTAACACAAAATTGCATAAAAACGATTTTTATTTTTGCCTTTTGCCTAACAGCAGTATTCGTTGTCCTGACAGGTACTTTTCTGAATCTTTGACCTTTTTTAACTTACTGTTTTCCAAAACCATAAGCAAAGAGTAAAATAGAAATAGAAAATAAAATTGCGAAAAACATGGTCTCTTTAGCACAATGGTCTGTGCGGAATATATGAAATGAAAGAAATGTGATGTTTTAGTTTGCCACTTGCGACCAGCAATAAAGCGTGGGGACCTATTTCTGGTTCCCGAGGGCTTCTTGGGTTATTATTTCTTCTAGTACTTATTGTTTCACCTAATACGGGTATCCCATACGCCTCTGTATACTTCTGGTAGAAAAACGACAATCCACTCGGCCCGATGTTGCTTGCGCTTCTCAGCTGCGCAGGAACTCCCCGGATGTCGTTGCACGTGTTGGTGGAAGTGGCTTGACCTGGCCGCCCACCAGCTGCCCTCCTACGTCGAGAAGCTAAAGAAGAAACAGTTCAACGTTAATTAAAGCTTCAGTGTCACGCAGGTTTTATATCAAACTGCAACAAATAGAATAACGAATACCACAGCAGTAAGGACTCTAGATGTTGGCAGTCTCACCAACTTCATAAAAGATTAATAAACGAAAGTTGACCAAGTCCTTCTTATCCAATTGCTGTATTTCCAAGATTAGCTTTGACAAGGGATGTATCTGTACATGAACAATCCTCATCGATGTTGATGTATTTAGAATAAACAACCAGATATCAAGTTTAGAACGAGAGGATTATTAACACTTTTTCTCTCACACACAATATGTTTTTATTATGAATATACCCTATATATGAATGCCTATATACACACTGTCTCTAGTTTCAGGTGGTTTGTTTTGTAACACTTTAACATGGACAAGACAACGTTGATCCGAGGAATCGAATTAACACTAACTCTTTGTCAGTCAAATTAAATTATCCTACAAAATACTTTCCCTAAAATGACTAATCAACATAGGAATGTTTAAACCAAAAAGAACAATATTGGTTTCAATTCATTCCCAGTTTTTCATATTTAACCATCCTTGGGCTAAACATGATTACCTCCCTTACATACTGAATTTGATAAACAATGTATTTCCCCAATAAATGAGCGCATGAGCCTATTCAAGCTTGAAATAGGCCAAGCCGTTTTCTGCTTGTGACGAACCGGTAGTGTCTCTCTCTTATTATTGTGGTAGACTTTCTTACAAATGTCACGCATTTCAGGGTGCAAACGAAGAATTAACAACATATATGGAATTTGAAGAACTACAGGGCCAACAATAATATATTACAAACAATTGTTTGAACAAATATTAATGCATGTACGTTCTGTTCAGTCACCCTTCAGATCAATAGACGTTTCAGAAAACTATTATATAAACAAAACAATCTTACCAGTGCCATTTGTCGACTGATAATAATCCGCTTCCGTTAAAGGTCGCAGGGGGTCCTCCAACTCCAATGTCAAGGTCAGATCACCGCTTGTTACGTGGCGTCTGATCAGGCCTGTGTTCAGATAATAACTGCCAATACATCCCATCAAGATTAAAACATATGGCCTTTAAATACAACAACGCAATTCCCTTTCTAATGTGTGACTTTAAACCTTTGGATGAGGGTTTTATTACGTATTGGTTTATCTATTAAAATAACTAACTTGACGCCAAATATTCTGTGCGTTGTTTGAACATGAAATGTTCGCTTTAAATCCATCTTTAGCAGATACTTATAGAAGATACACGTACAACAGACAGACAGTTTATTCAGTAATTTAGGCATCAAGGCCCATAGTACAATGCAGATTGTATATTAACATTTGTCACGTGATGTACATGATTAGATTTTAGAAACACGTACAACCTAAATAAAACAAAAGGTCATAGCAGGGAAGATGTCCATGAACAAAGACATGATAACTATTTCTGTCAATCAACATGGATGTGTATGTACAAATCATCCCATGCCTTGACAGTACCTAGGAGGCAACTGTTCGTATTCTTTATTGTCTGATCATTGTGTAGCAGGGCGTGGAGTCATCCTACGGATGTCATCCTTACCTTGTCAGCTTGCTGACGGGGTTAACCTCTTTGGTCATGGGGACAAGGCGTCCGACCTGTGATCAGAAGGTCCGTGGTTCGAATCCCATCACGGGACTCGGAAATTTTATGGCCGTTACATTGGCGCCCAACGTGGGGCTGAGCACGTTCATATTAAATTTGAGCAAAATAAGCCTCTGTACCAAACTATGCGGCCCGGGACGTGCCTTCTGTTGACGGGGGAGTATGTAGCAGGGCGTGGAGTCATCCCACAGATGACATCCTTACCGTGTCAGCTTGCTGACGGGGTTAACCTCTTTGGTCATGTGGACAAGGCGTCCGACCTGTGATCAGAAGGTCCGTGGTTCGAATCCCATCACGGGACTCGGACATTTTATGGCCGTTACAATTGCTTCGCAAAAATATGTTTGACAGATTCATTTCAAATACAATTCGGATGTATTGATAACACGTTTTTAATGCCATAGCATCTCCCTGCTGTATGGTTAAAACCAAGACAATGCGAAGTTACATTTTAACTGACTGTATTGTCTGAAATGTTACACGACATGTATATATTACAGAGAAATGCGAACCACAGACTTCTGGGGACTAATTTTGAAAGGAATCGTGAGTTTGGGCCCGTTTCTCTAAGTGAACATGTATGAAGAAAAAGACGAAAATAATGAGTTTATATGAACGTACCTGAATTCACAATCTGCAATCCCGCGAGGACAATAACCAACACGCCAATGTGTAGATCCATCGTGACTCTGTTTTTCATGTCAACATTTTATCAACGATTTATTCCCCACACGTGACCAGACAGATGGTCAGATAAAAAATAATCCGTACGTCACACATGTGGCGTACAAGATTAATCTTTTAGTAGTGAAATTTAGTAGTGAAACAGTCTTATTTAAGGACCGTTTATACCTAGAATTGTAATATGCTAGATTGATACTTAAATGACTGGAATACTGACACTGTTATTTTATCCGGGACTTTTTCCCTATTATTCAGTGTACTAATAGTATTTCATGTCTAGTTTAACTACACGAAATCAACATATAGCAGCTAAATCGTAGATTTCGAACCATATTTTTTATCAACTGTAACATAAGTTCATTGTACCAGCAGAGTAAAAAAGTTAAAATTATTTACAGCAAGTTTAACCAAATGGCAAAGTAATAAGTAAAAGTGACTTACCTTCAACAGAGAGGTTCTCAGGCGAAATGTAGGAATGACTCAGTGGCAAGATACTCCTGCAGTTATACCCGTGACCTCTTGTCCACGCATCTCAATACTCGTCTGTCCAGTTTGGAATCGTAAACAATGCCGTGTCACTTGTTGGTCAAAGTATGCAAGTTATGTGCTGCGTTTTCTATTTAATTCTTATAGGCTCATCCGCCATGTCTGAAACTGGTCAGTCGGTTCTAGAACGACAACAGCGCTAGCTTGCATCTCGAAGCGTCACGTCTTCAGTGCTGTAACTATGTAGCGTTTACTGGCTTGGGAATGTGAAACCTAAAGTAGTAGAATATATTTGAAGTTGATAAAAACTTAAAGAAAATTTTAGTAATTTTAACACTGTTATAGTAGTTTAGATTTAATAACCGTGACCACTCTACCGTTTTCTTTAAAAAACAATAACGATTTACTCTTTATTAACACAAACAAATTCGACACACGCATCAAATTTGCTTTACATTCTATATTAGTTATGCAAAGCGTTACTGCAGAACTATTGAAAATGTGAATTAATTATAATGTAAAAAGTTCAGCGTGGCAAAATGAAGTTAGTTTAAAATATTTGGACCGACATACAGAATTCTATCGTATTTCATGGCAATGTTTCCGAAAAAGTTTGTTTATAGGATTAATCTGAATTTGTGCCAATACTTCCACATATCAACAGTAACATCTATTCTTGATTAATTCTAAAACAAACATTTTCGGAACCAGTGCCATAAAATCCATTAAAAGTTTACATATCGGTCCAAATATTTTAAACTTACTCATTTTGACATGCGACACTTTTTACATGAATTCAAATTTTCAATAAATCTTGAGGGAAAATAGATATTAGCTCGATTTGCTGCGTGTGACGTGCTTGGTTGTATTAAACAAGTGTCAATCTCCAAAGAGTCTCGCTATTGTTTTTTTTTTAAAGGAAAAGGGTAGCGAGGTCACGGTTATCAAACCTAAACTACAAATAGATTAATCTTGTACGCCACATGTGTGAAGTACGGATTATTTTTTATCTGACCATCTGTCTGGTCACCTGTAGGTAATAAATCTCTGATAAAATGTTGACATGAAAAACAGAGTCACGATGGATCTACACATTGGCGTGTTGGTTATTGTCCTCGCGGGATTGCAGATTGTAAATTCAGGTACGTTCATATAAACTCATTATTTTCGTCTTTTTCTTCATACATGTTCACTTAGAGAAACGGGCCCAAATTCACGATTCCTTTCAAAATTAGTCCCCAGAAGTCTGTGGTTCGCATTTCTCTGTAATATATACATGTCGTGTAACATTTCAGACAATACAGTCAGTTATCATTTAAGTTCGCATTGTCTTGGTTTTAACCATACAGCGGAAAGATGTGATGGCATTAAAATATGTTATCAATGCATCCGAATTGTATTTGAAATGAATCTGTCAAACATATTTTTGCTAAGCAATGATCAGACAATACAGAATACGAACAGTTGCCTCCTAGGTACTGTCAAGGCATGGGATGTTTTGTATATACACATCCATGTTGATTGACTGAAACAGTTATCATGTCTTTATACATGGACATCTTCCCTGCTATAACCTTTGATTTATTTCGGTTGTACGTGTTTCTAAAATCTAATCATGTACATCACGTGACAAATGTTAATATACAATCTGCATTGTACTATGGGCCTTGATGCCTAAATTACTGAATAAACTGTCTGTCTGTTGTACGTGTATCTTCTATAAGTATCTGCTAAAGATGGATACAAAGCGAACATTTCATGTTCAAACAACGCACAGAATATTTGGCGTCAAGTTAGTTATTTTATTATATAAACCAATACGTAATAAAACCCTAATTCAAAGGTTTAAAGTAACAAATTAGCAAGTGACGCGTTTTGTTGTTTTTAAAGGCTATGTGCTTCAATTTTGGTGGGATGTATTGACAGTTATAATCTGAACACAGGCCTGATCAGACGCCACGTAACAAGCAGTGATCTGACCTTGACATTGGAGTTGGAGGACCCCCTGCGACCTTTAACGGAAGCGGATTATTATCAGTCGACAGATGGCACTGGTAAGAATATTTTTTTCTGAAAAACCTATTGGACTAAAGGGTAACTGAACAGAAAGTTTTGGTTTGTTTGTTTGTTGTTTTACTCCGCACTCAGCAATATTCCAGCCATATGACGGAGGTCTGTAAATAATCGAGTCTTGACCAGACAATCCAGTGATTGAAAACATGAGCATCGATCCACGCAATTGGGATAACCAAGTCAGCGAGCCTGACCACCCGATCCGTTAGTCGCCTCTTAGGAGAAGCATAGTCGCCTTTTATGGCAAGCGTGGGTTGCTGAAGACCTATTCTACACCGGATCTTCACTGGCCGAACAGAAAGTACATGCATTTCTATTTTTCAAAAAATTGTTTATAATATATCATTTTTAGTCTAGTAGTTCTTCAATTTCCCTATATGTTGTTAGTTGTTCGTTTGCACCCTGAAATGCATGACAAACAAACTGAAGCTGGAGACATTTGTAAGAAGGTCTACCACAATAATACGAGCAGGCAGAAAGCAGAAAACGGCTTGACCTGGGCTACCGTGCTCGTTTAGTGTGGAGATACATTCTTGACCGAATTCAGTATGTAAGGGGGGTAATTGTTTTGAGCCAAAACATGGTTTTATATGTAAAACAGCGAATGAATTGAAACCAATATTGTTCTTTTCGTTTTAAGCATTCCTGTTTTGATTAGAAATTTTAGGAAAAGTATTCTTTATAAGTAATTTTATTTGACTAACAAAGAGTTTGCCGTCGTGTTAATTCAATTCCTCGGATCAACGTTGTCTTGTCCATGTTGAAGTGTTACATAAACAAACCAACTGACACTGGTGTGTATATAGGCATTCATAAATAGGGTATATTCATTACAAAAAAACTGATTGAGTGTGAGAGAAAATTGGTTATTATTCCTCTCTTTCTAAACTTGATATCTGGTTGTTTATTCTAAATATATCAACATCGATGAGGATTGGTCATGTACAGATACATCCCTAATCAAAGCTAATCTGGAAAATAAAGCAATTTGGATAAGAAGAGGCGCCTTTTGTAATTGGTCAACTTTCGTTTATTAATCTGTTATCAACTTAGTGAGACTGCCAACAGCTGACGTCCTTACTGCTGTGGTGAGGTATTCTTTATTCTACTTGTTGCAGTTTGATATAGAACTCCTGTGTGACACTGAAGCTTTAATTAACGTTGAACTGTTTCTTCTTTAGCTTTTCGACGTAGGAGGGCAGCTGGCGGGCGGCCGGGTCATTCCACTTCCACCAACACGTGCAACGACATCCGGGGAGTTCCTGCGCAGCTGAGAAGCGCAAGCAACATCGGGCCGAGTGGATTGTCGTATTTCTACCAGAAGTATACAGAGGCGTATGGGATACCTGTTCTAGGTATGCGATATGTACTAGAAGATCTAATAACCCCCAGAACCCCGCGGGAACCAGAGTTAGGTCCCCACGCTTTATTGCTTGTCGCAAGTGGCGACTTCAGTGACTAAAACATCACATTTTTTTCTTTTCATTTTTATATATTCCGCACCGACCACTGTGCTAAAGAGACCATGTTTATTTTATTCATTGTTTACGACTTCGGAAAACAGTAAGTTAAAAAAGGTAAAAAAAATTAGAAAAGTACACGCTAGGACTACTAATACTGCTTTTGGGCGTAAGACCAAAAAAACCAAACACTTACATTTTTATGCAATCATGTGTTCAAGAGATTTGTGATTTTCTCAATTCAATTTTCTATTTCTATTTTAATCATTGTTTATGGTTTTGAAAAAAAAAAAACCCGTCTGAATCGCAGCTTCACGTAACGTCCCCGACGACGCTGTCCGCCGCGCCTGTTACGTCCTTCGCTTCCTCCTCGCCGACCACAGCGGTGTGCGACAGTCCTACTACCGACTGTCGGGGAGGGTGGCAGTGATCGGGGCTCGGGAAGGGACAGTGTCTATTCCGGAACACGCTTGGCTGGGGCCCGCCTGGAACGACCGAGCACGTGGACTTGGGGCAACGGAATACGCCCCAGTATCGACAGGGGGCGAGGAGAACATCCTGTGTTACACTAATGACAGGTATAATAATAATAATAATAATAATAATAATAATAATAATCTAAATAATAATAATAATAATAATAATCTAAATGATACTACTACTACTACTACTACTACTACTACTACTACTAATAAAATGTCAGTGTTGATTTTGTTGATGGCTCTGTATTGCTGGATGGTATAGAAATGACTGTCATCCTAGCGAAGTGCTATATCAAATCGGCCCAGACCCAGTTTTTCAAGGGAAGGCTATCTGAACGACCACTGCATCGAGTCTATGTGCAGTGTGTTCAGAAAATCAGAGTTCAGAGTCCTTTGCTTGGATGAAGTTGACTGGCCTGAAAAGTGCAACAGAAGGGTTTTTTGTTTGCTGCTCAGGACCAGTCTCTTCTCACTCGAAACCGTCAATGTGTAATTTTGCATCAAAATGTAAACATGAAATGAAGATTGTGTAATTTAATGAGATTGTCCAACACATTGTCAGTGGATGCCCAGCTTTGGCACAAACGCAGTATCTTAAGCGACATGATGGAGTTGCTCGATCATTTTATTACTGTCTTCGCCATGATTGTGGTTTTGACACAGAGGTCCATCCATGGTACGACCCGGAATATGAAGAGGGCGTCATGGAAAATGATACATACAACATTCTTTGGAACATGCCCGTATACAGCCTCAGACATATCCAGGCCAACAAACCTGATCGTGTCTTTTTGATAAATCCAATGAAATCATTTACATTTTTGTCCCCTTTGACACCAATGTGATTGACAAGATTGAGGAAAAACATGGCAAATATGCAGACCTCGCTTTCGAAATGTCACGCTTGCATCCCAAGTACTAAGTTGTCCGACACCTCATTGTTCTCGGTGCCTTAGGTTTGGTACCTCCCAATCTGTTGACTGACATTGGATGAGTACCCGTTGTCTGAGCTGCGTGTAGAGGGGGCAAGGGCCTTGAGCTGATGATGAGCCTAACCAGCCTGACTGTGCCAGGATCACCCAAACCTTCATTGCTGCATTATTTATTTTAATCTGTAAATAATAACAATAACAAAAGAATCACTACTACTACTACTACTGGTAATACTAATTCTAATTATTTTCACGAGAGCAATAATTATGAAAGAAAAAACAAAGCAAGATAGAATCAGAAAACGGACCATGTGACTGAATAAACTTTACATAAAATACCTTCAGGTATCGGGTCGAGGACATCTTCCTGCACGAATTCGCCCATGGCATCCATCTGCTGGGCGCCAAGTACGCCATCCCAGGCTGGCAGAGTCGCCTACAGTCGCTCTACTACCAGGCCAGAGCTGCCGGTAGGTGGCGCAACACATACGCCATGAGTACTATGGAGGAATACTTTGTAAGTAGAAACGTTACAGTGTGTGTTTGTTCGTGCATGCGTGCGCGGTGTGTGCGCGTTGTTCAAGTTCTCGCCACAGACAGCAATGTACTGGCTATATCACGGTGGTTTGTAAATAATCATGTCTTTTTCTAGCATACTGGTGTATGTTTGTTGTTTAACGCCGCACTCAGCACTATTCCAGCCATATGACGGCGGTCTGTAAATAATCGAGTCATGAGTGATTGACATCATGAGCATCGATCCACGCAATTGGAATATAATGACATGCATCAACCAAGTTAGCGAGCCTGGCCACCCGATCCCTTTAGTCGCCTTTTACGACAAGCACAATCGCCTTTTACTCCACGCATGGGTTGCTGAAGGCCTATTCTATTCCCGAGGCAAGGGAGTTAACTGACTATAAAAGTCCAGTTTCCACCCTTTCCGAACTAGGCAGGAATTATGGCGTTACATTTTGGCTGGTCTAACGAGTCTATGCATAGTCCAATCAAAATCGCGCACCGAAATCAAAATCAGGTTAGTAAACTGTCGTGCAGATTTCGGTCGATTGCAGGATTTGCAAAGCATGTGCACCGCCAACTCGTTGTCAACAGATAATTTCCAAGTCTTTTCATGTTTCTAATCAAGGTGCTCACTTGAATTGCTGCACTTCGCGATGTAAGACCCGTTTTATCACAATATAGATCTTGATTATCGATCAGATCGTCTTGACTGGGCGCCGCCGTTTTATTTGAAACGAATGCAAGTGATACGAGAGGTGGAATCTGTTTGGTCCATAGGAGAGGCTTAAAAGGGACATAATAACCATTGGTGGCGCTACGATCGAGACCAGGAATTCAAGCCTAGTTCGGCAAGGGTGGAGACTGGACTTTTAAAATCAGTTAACTCCTTGCCTCGTGAAGATGATTCTATCCCGGATCTTCACGGGTATAAAAACTGGTGTTTGATAGCACCGGCAACGACTCGCTGTCGGCCACCCCATCCTCATTTAAGCCAGAATGTACAGCAAGTATGGGTTACTGACCCAGAACACCCAGGATGCCTACGCACAAACTCAGTGACAATGTTTGCTAAATTAATCTGATCCATCTGTTTGGCAATGTGAATCACTGCAAATATTGCGACCATGGCAGACCTTTGTATGACCTTGACTGTGACCGTGACCTTGTCCGTGACCTGTGACAGTAGCCGTGACTTGGACTGTGAACGTGGCCCGTGACCGTGACTCTGCTGTTTTGTCTTACATGTAGAAAAACGTGAAGTTAGGAACAAAGGAGGTAGACCAGTAACGGTACATTTTACCATGGTGCTGAGTTGATGTGTTAAGTATGTCATCTCTGTTACACATGACAATTTGTCTCCCTCTCTTTTCAGGCGGAAGGGACACAAAGCTACTTCAACGTCAACGCTTACTCCGCCGTCCCTAACGGCATCCACAACCACGTCAACACCCGCGAGAAACTTCGGCCTTACGATCCCCAGCTCTTCTCTCTCATACAGGAGGTATTCCCGTGCGGCAACACGTACCTGAAGAGATGCAATACGACCAGAAGTAAGCCGCCTGTGATATGTTATCATACCTTTGTTTTACGGGGGCGTAGATGATCCAGTTGTCTGAAATGCCGTAGAGTGGTACTCAAGCCGCGTCAGGATCTGGTCATTGGCTCGAATCCCCGATGGGCCAAGTCACGATGTTCAGTCTGTTACCATCATACATGTGTTCATGCTTTTCTCCCACATAAATAATCATGTCCTGACCTGACAAGTGAGGGATTGAAGTCATGAGCACCGATCTCCGCCAACGGCTGCGACAAGCATTCAGCTAAACCATCCGAGCCTGACAACCTGGTCCGCACTTTAGCATGTTATTAAGACAAGCATATATTTTGACCACGTCCACTGTGCCTTCATTCGTTATGCAGAGTTGCGTCCCTTGGGCGTAGCTCAAAGTGCGACCGTGGGTTCGAATCCCCGATGTTCCCTGATTATGATGTTTGGGTTGTCAGCACATACCAAAGTGATCTGAAACCTTCTTCCCTTCGGACTGTCTTCGCGCGAGAAGTTGACACGAAAGTCAACGCTTCTATTTCAAAATTAAAAAAAAGGATCAGTGTGCTCTGTGTTTGTTAACGTCAAGTTCGTCTACTGAAAATAGAACAAATGGACACTGAGCAGTATTATTCAAAGAGGGGCAATTTTCAAGAACAGCAATAACATCTTGTATCATTTTGCAGCTGTTTCCTCCGTGACCTCGTTGTATGGTCGTGGGTTGTGATGTATGTGCTGCTAATGTTGCAGGTGCTGAGAGAAGCCAGCACCTCAGGATGAACTGTAACCTCGGGGGCGGGGGTGGCACAGACAGTGGGGGAGGCGGTAATGGAACCGGAACCGGATCTGGAAGCGGAACTGGAAGCGGAACCGGAAGCGGAACTGGAACCGGAACTGGAACTGGAACTGGTTCAGGTATGGACACTCTGGAATGGGATGCATTTACAATTCAAGAACAGATATCAAGCTACAAGATATTTGCACAAATGATCTGTCTTGAGTGAATACCAGTTATCGCCGTTTCAGGCACGTGTCAGGACAATAACTCCTACTGCAAGTCGTGGGCGTCTCAAGGAGAGTGTGACTCCAACCCTGGCTACATGCACGTCTCCTGTAGACGAAGTTGCAACAAATGTGGGGGAGGGGGAGCGGGAGCGGGGGCTGGAAGTGGTACTGGTTCAGGTTCAGGTAAGAAATGTCGAATGGGATGCAATTCAAGAGACAACTAGATACAAGAAACTTACACAAATTATGTGTCCAGAGTGAAACACCAGTTGTCTCCGTTTCAGGCACGTGTCAGGACAATAACTCCTACTGCAAGTCGTGGGCGGCTCAAGGAGAGTGTGACTCCAACTCTGCCTACATGCACGTCTCCTGTAGACGAAGTTGCAACAAATGTGGAGGTTCGACATTAAGTTTTCTTTTCTCATAATGTTTTAGTGTTAACGTGTACCAGGTGTCGCGGTTGGCCCAGTCGTGGGTAGGGAGAACTAAGATTTGATTTTAATGAGATTGATTCCTTTGAGCTGCCACGTCGGAATCCTATGATTTTTCCACCAACATGCGAAATGTGTAAGACCCTTACGCTGTGAGTTAACTGTAATATTGTTCAAGGCGATGCTACATCCTACTCGCTTAACTGTGTATGGAGAAAAAAAAGGCAAAACTATATCTGTCACGAAACGAGTAAACATTTTTTATTTCGGTATTTAAGGTGTGTCTTGCGTGGATTCCAACCCCAACTGTAGCAGCTGGTCAAGTACAGGGGAGTGTGGACGGAACCCCGGCTACATGTTGACCTCGTGTAGACGCAGCTGCGGCCAGTGCTGATCGTGTCCACGAATAAACCTAACAACATGCAGTTTAGTTATCCTTTTGTGACAAAACATTTGTCATTTGCACAGTTACATTATTGTTGTTTAACGCTGCACTCAGCAATATTCCAGCCAGGTGATGACGGTCTGTTAATAATCGAGTCTGGACCAGACAATCCATTGATTGATGTCATGAGCATCTATCTACGCAATTGGGATACAATGTCATGTATCAACAAAGTCTCCGAGTCTGACCCCGTTAGTCGTCTTTTACGACAAGCATGTTGTATTTTTCAATATAATGAACTAAGCGGGTTAGTATCAATAACGGATAACAATACCACAAACACAGTGTGCTGAAAGTGCTCGCCTATAAAAGGAATACTTTCCAACAGGATCTGGAAAGTGACAGTCGTATGGTGTTTTCTGATCATGAATTTCGAAAAGGTTAACGAGGGTATTCCGAACGAAAATCAAAATCTGTCACAATCATCGTCTCTCTCTCGCTTCAATAACGGATGATACTTTCCGAAGCCCGTGGGATGTACTGCCATGCAAGACTGTATGACTGATTCTATCAAAATCATCGTCTATCTCTCGCTTCAATGGGGTAAACATTAGAAACGGAAGTTACTTTCACAACCCGTGGAATGTGCTGCCATGCAATCTCAGCCATGTAAAACACATTCCAGATTTTTCTTTTCTTCAGTTTTCAAATTTTGAATCCATATTCTTCAAGGCGTAGGAATGGAAAAGAAGTTGTCAGTGTGAAACTGCTGCTCTCTCTCTTTCGAGGGTCCCAATGAGCGTGACGCACCCGACCACTTTCGCAACTTTCAATTTGCGTGGTGAAATGAAGTCAGTTTAGACTTATCTGGACAGATATCTACGACTTACTTGGGATGATCAGGTTGTGCCATCAGTGTCCCGTTGGAAGCGTATTTGGTGGCACTGTTTCGGGAGTTGTTTGTTCACGACTGCCCGACCAGATCGCTAAAAGTGAATATTTCCGATACAAATCATTCGAAAACTCAGTAGAAGGGTGCCTGACTTCTGTTAATGTGGCCAAAAATGTGAACAATAACATTCCCTATCTCTAGCATAAATCGCTGTGAGTAGATCACGGCTGTCTTTTCTTGTTTCGGTGGTGACCTTGCCCTTCGTTCGAAGCTGTCACTGACATGCAAGCAGACTTGAGTTTGTTGATTTTCACGTCTTCAGTATAGGGTGGTACAGTAAACATGAATGTCTTTGGCGAACACTCTGATTTCCCTCTTCCACAATGGTCCACAGGATATAAATTCAGCTGATTGATCAAGGAAACTGAACCATTTTGATTGCACAGCCGGGACACCGGCAGTGCGAGTGACCGACTGTTGGTCCGATATTCAAAGCGAGGCGCTTATGTGACTTTAAAAATTGTCTTATAGGTGTCCTGCATACTAACAACAATGCGCTTGAATTACCATAAGTTGAAGAAATTCTTCCAAAAGGATCTTGAGCGTCGGTGCTGTTATGTTTGCAAACACAACAGCAAGAGCATTTTGTTAATGCGAATGCATAGAAATGTCAACAATGCCCATATTTGGGCATATATCAATATTCATGCGCAACAAGATTTTGCAACCGGTTTAAGTCAACGAACGACAGTTGTTATGTATGTACACTTAAATATATGCTTAACGTGGGTAATAAATAAAATACCACGCTAATTCTCGTTAGATACCCTTTCTACGAAACTTGTGAACTTTCTATGGTATTTGATCTCGCTTTCCACTCGTCTCGTAAAAAATGGTGTCTAACGAGAATCAGTGTAGCGTTCTCTATGGGTGTACCGGATGCGGGAGTATGAGCGTACTTAATGCGGGAGTATGAACGTACTTAATGCGGGAGAATGGGTGTACATGTACTTCGTGCGGGAGTATTATGTACTGAATGCGGGAGTATGGGTGTGCTTGTTCGGGAGTATGGCTGTACTTAGAGCGGGAGTATGAGTGTACTAAATGCAGGAGAATGGGTGTACTGGATGCGGAAGTATGGGTGTACTTGGTTCGGGAGTATTGGTTGGTGTACTTAGAGCGGGAGTATGAGTGGACTTGATGCGGGAGTATGAGTGGACTTGATGCGCGAGTATGGCTGTACTTAGAGCGGGAGTATGAGTGGACTTGATGCAGGAGTATGGCTGTACTTGGATCAGAAGTATGGGTGTACTTGGTTCGGGAGTATTGGTTGGTGTACTTAGAGCGGGAGTATGAGTGGACTTGATGCGGGAGTATGAGTGGACTTGATGCGGGAGTATGGCTGTACTTGGAGCAGAAGTATGGGTGTACTTGGTTCGGGAGTATTGGTTGGTGTACTTAGAGCGGGAGTATGAGTGGACTTGATTCGGGAGTATGAGTGGACTTGATGCGGGAGTATGAGTGGACTTGGTGCGGATGTATGGGTGTACTTGGTGCGGGTGTATGGGTGTACTAGGTGCGGATGTATGGGTGTACTTAGTGTGGGTGTATGGGTGTACTAGGTGCGGATGTATGGGTGTACTTGGTGCGGGAGTATGGGTGTACTTGGTGCAGATGTTTGGGTGTACTTGGTGCGGATGTATGGGTGTACTTGGTGCAGGAGTATCGGTGTACTTGGTGCGGGTGTATGTGTGTAGTTGGTGTGGGTGTATGGATGTACTTCGTGCAGGAGTATGGGTGTACTTGGTGCGGATGTATGGGTGTACTTGGTGCGGCAGTATTGGCGTACTTGGTGCTGGTGTATGGGTGTACTTGGTGCGGGAGTATGGGTGTAGTTGGTGCGGATGTATGGGTGTACTTGGTGCGGGAATATGGGCGTACTTGGTGCGGGTGTATGAGTGTACTTGGTGCGGGTTTATGGGTGTAGTTGGTGCGGGTGTATGGGTGTCTTTGGTGCCGGAGTATGGGTGTACTTGGTGCGGATGTATGGGTGTACTTGGTGCGGATGTATGGGTGAATTTGGTGCGGGAGCATAGGCGTACTTGGTGCGCGTGTATGGGTGTAGTTGGTGCGGATGTATGGGTGTACTTAGAGCGGGAGTATGAGAGGACTTAATGCGGGAGTATGGCTGTACTTAGAACGGGAGTATGAGTGTACTAAATGCAGGAGAATGGGTGTACTGGATGCGGAAGTATGGGTGTACTTGGTTCGGGAGTATTGGTTGGTGTACTTAGAGCGGGAGTATGAGTGGACTTGATGCGGGAGTATGAGTGGACTTGATGCGCGAGTATGGCTGTACTTGGAGCAGAAGTATGGGTGTACTTGGTTCGGGAGTATTGGTTGGTGTACTTAGAGCGGGAGTATGAGTGGACTCGATGCGGGAGTATGAGTGGACTTGATGCGGGAGTATGGCTGTACTTAGAGCGGCAGTATGAGTGGACTTGATGCGGGCGTATGGCTGTACTTGGAGCAGAAGTATGGGTGTACTTGGTTCGGGAGTATTGGTTGGTGTACTTAGAGCGGGAGTATGAGTGGACTTGATGCGGGAGTATGAGTGGACTTGATGCGGGAGCATGGCTGTACTTAGAGCGGGAGTATGAGTGGACTTGATGCGGGGGTATGGCTGTACTTGGAGCAGAAGTATGGGTGTACTTGGTTCGGGAGTATTGGTTGGTGTACTTAGAGCGGGAGTATGAGTGGACTTGATGCGGGAGTATGAGTGGACTTGATGCGGGAGTATGAGTGGACTTGATGCGCGAGTATGGCTGTACTTAGAGTGGGACTATGAGTGGACTTGATGCGGGAGAATGAGTGGACTTGGTGCGGATGTATGGGTGTACTTGGTGCGGGTGAATGGGTGTACTAGGTGCGGATGTATGGGTGTACTTGGTGCGGGTGTATGGGTGTACTAGGTGCGGATGTATGGGTGTACTTGGTGCGGATGTATGGGTGTATTTGGTGCGGGAGTATGGGTGTACTTGGTGCAGATGTTTGGGTGTACTTGGTGCGGATGTATGGGTGTACTTGGTGCAGGAGTATGGGTGTACTTGGTGCGGGTGTATGTGTGTAGTTGGTGTGAGTGTATGGGTGTACTTCGTGCAGGAGTATTGGTGTACTTGGTGCGGATGTATGGGTGTAGTTCGTGCGGAAGTATTGGCGTACTTGGTGCGGATGTATGGGTGTACTTGGTGCGGGAGTATGGGTGTACTTGGTGCGGATGTATGGGTGTACTTGGTGCGGGAATATGGGCGTACTTGGTGCGGGTGTATGAGTGTACTTGGTGCGGGTTTATGGGTGTAGTTGGTGCGGGTGTATGGGTGTCTTTGGTGCCGGAGTATGGGTGTACTTGGTACGGATGTATGGGTGAATTTGGTGCGGGAGTATAGGCGTACTTGGTGCGCGTGTATGGGTGTAGTTGGTGCGGATGTATGGGTGTACTTAGAGCGGGAGTATGAGAGGACTTGATGCGGGAGTATGGCTGTACTTAGAGCGGGAGTATGAGTGGACTTGATGCGGGAGAATGAGTGGACTTGGTGCGGATGTATGGGTGTACTTGGTGCGGGTGTATGGGTGTACTAGGTGCGGATGTATGGGTGTACTTGGTTCGGGTGTATGGGTGTACTTGGTGCGGGAGTATGGGTGTACTTGGTGCAGATGTATGGGTGTACTTGGTGCGGATGTATGGGTGTACTTGGTGCAGGAGTATGGGTGTACTTGGTGCGGGTGTATGTGTGTAGTTGGTGTGGGTGTATGGGTGTACTTGGTGCGGAAGTATGGGCGTACTTGGTGCGGGAATATGGGCGTACTTGGTGCGGATGTATGGGTGTACTTGGTGCGGGAATATGGGCGTACTTGGTGCTGGTGTATGAGTGTACTTAATGCGGGTTTATGGGTGTAGTTAATGCGGGTGTATGGGAGTAGTTGGTGCGGATGTATGGGTGTACTTGGTGCGGATGTATGGGTGAATTTGGTGCGGGAGTATAGGCGTACTTGGTGCGGGTGTATGGGTGTAGTTGATGCGGATGTATGGGTTTACTTGGTGCGGGAGTATGGGCGTACTTGGTGCGGGTGTATGGGTGTACTTGGTGCGGGAGTATGGGTGTACTTGGTGCGTGTCTATGGGTGTAGTTGGTGCGTGTGTTGTGTGTATTAGGTGCGGGAGTATGGGTGAACGTGAGTAAATGGGATGTGGAAGCGTCGCAGATACGGTTAGAGTGTGATTTACGGGGTGCGAGGGTATGAGTTAATCCGGTACTGTAGGCATAACGTTATTTGTAACGTTACATATAGCACATTAACACCTTCAGATTGGAAGCTTTAACCATATTGGAAATATTTCTACCTCCAATTTTAACGAAACATGTTGTGAGAGAGATTTGTGATTGAAACTAGCCTGCAAACTCTGCAAATGACAAATGTAATGTCATAAAATGACAACTAAACTGCATGTTGTTTGGTTTATTGCGTGGACACGATCAGCACTGGTTGCAGCTGCGTCTACACGATGTCAACATGTAGCCGGGGTTCCCTTCACACTCCCCTTGCGACGCCCACGACCTGCAGTTGGTGTTGCTGTCCTCACATGTGCCTGGAATAGAGACATCTGGTTTTCACTCAGGACAGATAATGTATATAAAAGTCTTGTAGCTTGTTACCTGCTCTTGAATTATAAACGCATCCTATTGGGTACTTTCCATACCTGAACCAGTTCCAGTTCCGGTTCCGGTTCCGGTTCCGGTGCCCCCAGGGTTACAATTCATCCTCAGTTGCTGGCTTTTCTCAGCACCTGCAACATCAGCAGCACATACGTCACAGCACACAACCAAACACCGTGGTAAGGGAAGAACTTGGAAACGCCTAAACATTAGCAGCACATACGTCATAGCACCCTCCATTGCTCTGTGGTAAGGGCAGAACTTGGAAACGCCTAAACATTAGCTGCACATACGTCACAGCACACTACCAAACACCGTGGTATGGGAAGAACTTGGAAACGCCTAAACATTAGCAGCACATACGTCATAGCACCCTCCATTGCTCTGTGGTAAGGGCAGAACTTGGAAACGCCTAAACATTAGCAGCACGTACGTCACAGCACACTACAAAACACCGTGGTAAGGGCAGAACTTGGAAACGCCTAAACATTAGCTGCACGTACGTCACAGCACACTACCAAACACCGGGGTGAGGGAAGAACTTGGAAACGCCTAAACATTAGCAGCACATACATCATAGCACCCTCCATTGCACCGTGGTAAGGGAAGAACTTGGAAGCGCCTAAACATTAGCTGTACATACGTCACAGCACACTGCCAAACACCGTGGCTACGGAGGGACTTGGGAACAGCTGAAAAATGACACACTATGTTATGTCCTGTTCACGATTCGAACCGACGATCATAGGCTTCTGGCTCGCCTAATGGACGCAGCTCGACTTGTGGCTCCTGGGGCGGGTTTTGAATATACAAGTCGGGTCTCTGTGATCTCATTGATTGCTTATCAGTTTGACAGATGGCGGAGAAAGCTGTTCATGATTTCAATATCTGGTTTACCTGGCCAAGATACGACTTGGCCAGGCCATCATATAGTATGTGTGAGCAAAACTGAAGTATTGATGATAACACAGGTACGGTGCGAACTAGGCCGATCCGGGATCGTAAATAATGACCACCGGATCCTGGCCACTCTACGGTTTTTTAAACAACCAGACCAGTCGCACCCCATATACAAAAACACAATCAATATCACACGCTGCTTACGTCTGTTTGTACTGCATCGCTTCAGATACGTGTTCCCGCACGGGAATACCTCGTGTGTGAGAGAGAACAGCTGGGGGTCGTACTGCTGCAGTTTGTCGTTGGTGTTCACGTCGTTGTGGACGCCGTTAGGGGTGACGGAGTAAGCGTTGACGTTGAAGTAGCTTTGTGTCCCTTCCGCCTGAGGAGAAAGAGTATCACATTGCCTACTCACGTGTTCTTTCTAGTTCTTTCCATTGTTCTAGTCATAACCTAATGCTTGAAGAAAGTAAAAAATGGTCTTTCTAGGGCTTCGCTTATGTCCATTTTGTGTAGCCCGTTTAATTGAAACTGAGTATCATTTCTGCATTGAATGTCAATTTTACTCAGATCTAAGAAATAGTCTTATACCTAAGTATTACCATTCACAACCTTCATTTGATAAATTTTGCACTCTAATGTCTTGCCAAAATGAACATGTTATTAATAAATTAGCTAAATGTATTTTTCTTGCTTTTAAGAAACGACAACAGTTTTTCAAATGTATGCAATAATTCAATTGTTTCACTATGTATATCACTTATATATCTGACGCCTGCTATTGTTATAATCCACTGTGGCCATATTGTATAATGGACCGGTGGTCTTTTACTGAAATAAAAACACTCACTCACTCACTCACGTGTCAATATGAAAGAGAGAACAACCAGTCTCGATTATCTGCCGAAATAGATTCCATCGAGACAGAAGGCATAATAGTGGTGAAAAAGTATGTGAATGGACGACTGAAAATCATTCATTATGACAGACTATCAAATTAACACCACCGTATAATATACCGTCACTTGAAAGCCTCCATTGATCCTAAATTGCTCGGTTTTATATGTGTCAAGACAGCAGAGTCACAATCATATCATAGTCACAATCATAACCTAGTCACAGTCACATGTACAGTCCTGTCCTAGTCAAACACAACTCCCTCTTCACATTTCAATTCTCACAGCATCCAATCAGATTTGCCACATTATGAGAATTTATTCTCATGAAATGGTGTGACATGGTCGCAATATGTGCAGTGATGCACAATGACTATGTTGCCATAAAGATGACATGAGTAATACAAGCTTCATGACTGGCTGAGATTAGTTTACCTGGATATTCAGGTTCATGTACCCATGCTTGTGAGAACTGACTGACATGAGTATAAGGTGGCCGATGTAGCAGTACGCACGCACGCACGCACGCACGCACGCACGCACGCACGCACACAGGCACGCACACATACTTTTTCTGTTTCTACTTACAAAGTATTCCTCCACAGTACTCATGGCGTATGTATTGTTCCACCTTCCGACAGCTTTGGCCTGGTCGTAGAGCGACTGTAGGCGACTCTGCCAGCCTGGAATGGCGTACTTGGCGCCCAGCAGATGGATGCCATGGGCGAATTCGTGCAGGAAGATGTCCTCGTTCCTATACCTGAAGGTATTTTATGTACATCCATTTCCCTTGGTTTAAATTCATAGCTCATAGAATCATTATGATCCCATAATAGCTTGATGGATAGCCCGGTTTTTTTTTGTTTCTGTGGGAGTCTTCATGTTGTTTGTTTTAGTCCTTATAACATTTCAAAATCATAGTCCTCATGGCAGTTACAATTCCGGAATCACAATTTTCTCAAAGTGATGCAATAAATGTATGATCGATAGCGCCCATTCTTCTTACATGAAACGCTCAGCGTCAAAACGATTCCTTGAGGAACACGTCAACAGTTACCTCCCTTCCATAAATATCTTATTAGGGTTGAGCGGTTATTCTATTGATAAAAGCTTTAAAGCAGATTTACCGATGGTAAAAACAAAGAATGTTGATCTTAAAGCACCTTTGTCAAATGTCGAGCTATCGGATCTGTATCCATGTGATTACAAACAAAATCTAACTCCTGCTGCATATGATGATGATGATGATGAAGATAGTGATGGTAAAGTGACGTTACTGATAACGTGCGCGGTATAGCTGGATTAGAAGTGGTGGTGGTGGTAGTAGTAGTAGACAGACAGACATATTTATTTCAGTAACAGGCCACTGGACCATAATACATTAATATAGCATGCTAAATCACGCATGCTGGAGTAAAATATTACATATTTGTATATATATAACACCTTCATTCATGACAAGGTATTCGGAATTTCTTAATTAGTAGCTTTTGTTTAGTATAAACCCATATCACGAATGTCAAGATTACAATGTTTGCTCAGTGTTATGGCGAGATATACTTTCTTCTGGCCTATCATTGAAAAAATGTATTTCAAAATTTTTAATGTAATAATTTCTCTTTAATCTTGAGCTGGGAAGACACAATTACACTCCACATAATTTGCGATTTCTGTATGTCCAAGAACTATAAATGTATATATACTCAACAACAAAAGTTCCTGTGACACCAATATTTTAGTGTATTTTTCAAACAAGTAAAGTTTGGTTTTCAGTATTGTAATACATGTATGGAATCAAGTCACAAAAAAGCAACTGCTACAGAAAAGCATGCATTCCATGCAAAAGTTGACTTTTATGCAAGCCCCATGCATTTCACGACCCACGAATGGGTATGAAAACCTGTGCGTTAACGGGATTCCATATGCATTGTTTAGCAACGTGCTGACAACAACCACTCAGAAAAACAACAAAATAAAGCAATTATTCAACATTACGAAATGCCACGCCTGTCCGAAGAGCCATTGGTATGCTTGAAGCAGGATCGAGTCAACGTGATGTTGCAAGGCAATTAACGTCCACAGAAACACCATTTGGTGTTTATGGCAACGTTGGCAACAGACGAATGCAATCAGACCATCCTCGGCGTGGCAGGCCACGCGTAACAAATAATCGACAAGACAACTGAATTCGAACAACACATCTACGAAATCGATTCCAACCAGCAACAGTGACTGCAAGAAGCATCCCTGGCCTTCGACGAATATCTTCACAAACCGTACGTCGCCGCCTCAGATGTGAATGAATTGTCGCCAGAAGACACGCCAGACGTCCCATTTTGACAGGAAACCACCGTCAAGCACGTCTACAGTGGTGTAGACAGCGTCTACGCTGGGCGGCCATGCAGTGGGGACAGGTTCTATTCACTGACGAGTCTCGTTTTCACCTCAGCCACAGCGATGGACGGATTCGAGTGTACCGACGTCGAGGTGAACGTTACGTCAATCATTGTGTCATGGAAGAAGATAGGTTCGGGGGCGGCAGCGCTATGGTTTGGGGTGGGATTACAGCAAGACAGAGGACCCGTTTGATAGTGGTAGAGGGTAAAATCAATGGACAGCGCTACCGCGACGAGATCATCGGCCCTGTTGTTCTACCGTTTTTGCGTCGTCATGGCCCAGGCATTACCTTTGAACATGTAACAGGAACTTTTGTTGTTCAGTACATATATATTTCAATGTAATGTGGCCATTTGTCAAATAACGTTCTGTGTTCAACATAGATTTGTACTGAACATAGTAATTCCATTTGGAAGATAGTTCCATTGAGGAATGTCAGTTTTGATACAGGTTATCTGATAGTCTTTACTGAAATACATTTTAGCATAATGTAACATTGTCGATTTCTTGTTGTAACCAGACTAACCTGGACAGAATGTTTTTAATTGATGCAGCCTATGTCCCTCTTAGTCCTCCCTAGTAGTAGTAGTAGTAGTAGTAGTAGTAGTAGTAGTAGTAGTAGTAGTAGTAGAAGAAGTTGGTTGGTTGGGTTGTTGTTTTACGCCGTACTCAGCAATATTTCGGCTATATGACGGCGGTCTGTAAATAATCGAGTCTGGACCAGACAATCCAGTGATTGATATCATGAGCATCGATTTACGCAATTTGGAGCGATGACACGCATCAACCAAGTCAGCGAGTCTGACCACCCGATACCGTTAGTCGCCTTTTACGACAAGCATAGTCGCCTTTTACGGCAAGCATGGGTCGCTGAAGAGCTATTCTACCCCGGATCTTCACGGGTCAGTAGTAGTTGTAGTAGTAGTAGTAGTAGTAGTAGTAGTAGTAGTAGTAGTAGTGTCATACCTGTCCTCAGTGTAACACAGGATGTTCTCTTCGCCTCCCGTTGATACTGGGGCTTGTTCCGTTGCCCCAAGTCCACGTGCTCGGTCGTTCATGGCGGGCCCCAGCCAAGCGTGTTCCGGAATGGACACTGTCCCCTCCCGAGCCCCGATCACTGCCACCCTTCCCGATAGTCGGTAGTAGGACTGTCGCACACCGCTGTGGTCGGCAAGGAGGAAGCAAAGGACGTAACAGACGCGGCGGAGAGCCTTGTTGGGGACATTACCGGAAGCTGCGATACAGACGGGTATGTTTTTAATCTTTGACATTTTTACAAAACCATAAACAATTATTAAAACAGAATTAGAAAATAAAATTGTGAAAAACACATATCTCTTAAAAGTTGCATAAAAAGGTAAGTGTCAGTTTTTTGCTGTATGTCTGGACTGCTGCCATGCGACGGGGGCCGGTAAAGAAACCAAACAATCAAGTGAAGGAACAGAAAACCAGTCGACACAACACACCCACTGTCAACGAAACTGAGAAATGTGATGTTTCAGTCACAAAAGTCGCCTCTTACGACAAGCGATAACCTATTCTTATAATGGTTTCTGTAGAGTAGTTAGATCTTCCAGTACATATCGCATCACCTAACACGGGTATCCCATACGCCTCTGTATACTTCTGGTAGAAATTCGACAATCCACTCGGCCCGATGTCGCTTGCGTTCCTCAGCTGCTTAGGAACTCCCAGGATGTTACTGCACGTGTTGGTGGAAGTGGAATGACCTGGCCGCCCGCCAGCTGCCCTCCTACGTCGAAAAGCTGAAGAAAACTCAGGTCAACGTAAATTAAAGCTTCAGTGTCATAAAGGAATTATGTATCAAACTGGAAAAAGTGCAATAGCCAGTCCCTTTCCTCTACAGTGACAGAATGGATTTTGACCACAACATTACAAAGATTTCCAAAAAAGTCGCACATAAACGATCTTAAACAAAACAATAAGTAAGGATAAGATATAGGGATGAAAAACTTATTACAATTAGTGGTAAAGTTTTGGTGTAGGATCCAACACCGTTTTCAAGCAGGTGTTGATAGAACCTCTACTCAGACGTGATTTTTCCTATTCAAATATATTATGCTATACGCGCAAACATTTATTTCCTGTGCAGGTAAATATGCTTCTAAACTAGAAATTCTAACAAATACACCCACTCCACCTGGACCTAGCTTTGACCTTTTGCCCGAATTTTTTCTGTTATGCCCAAATATGTATAACCATCTGAAAACAACATTATTTACCCTAGAAATATTTCACATAGATAATGTCAAAGACAATATAAGAGAAAACGGTGGCATGGAATAAATAAATCTTAAATAATCTTACCAGCGCCTTCTGTTGATTGATAATAATCAGCTTCCGTTGAAGGTCCCCGAGGGTCCTCCCACTCAAAGTTCAAGGTCAGATTACTGCCCGGTACCTGGCGTCTGATCCGACCTTGGTTAAAAGTGAAACTGCCATTACATCACAGTTAAAGTGAAACCTCTACGTCCCTCGTTAAAAACAAGCGCGTCTCTTTCTTGTATGTTTGTTAAAGTGTTTTGGGAGGGTGTTGTTGTTGTATCGGCTTATTCCTTAAAATAAATAGCACGCCACTTAATATTCTGTCTTGTTTTTCTAACGTTCGAGGGGGGACACGGGTGGCCCAGTCGTCTAAGGCGCCGCGATGAGCTGTGCAGAGTTGCGTTCCTTTGGCACGCCAGAAATCTATGATTGTGGGTTCGAATCCCGGTTCGCAGGATTAGGTTTCTAGGTTTGTCACCATATGCGAGCTCGTGGGTTTCACCGAAGTGGTAAACTTCTGAGACCTGCATCACTTCTGGCTTTCCTCCCACATTAAGCTGACACGCCATGATATAACTGGAATACTGTCAAAAGCGGCGTTAAACCCACCTCACTCACTCTAACGTTCGTTTTAAAACTAATAACATCCTTAACATATACTTATAAAAATATAACGTACAACCAAGATATATATAGTGTCAAAGTAATGTTTGTTGTAATATATATGTACATATTTAATGATGTTTCCCTCGGCTGAAGTGAGTTAGTGAGTTGGGTTTAACGCCGTTTTTTTAACAGTATTCCAGTTATATCACGGCGTGTCTATTTTAGACCCTTAAGGGCCCTCTACCCTAGAGAAGAAGCTGAATACTGTTAAAACCGGCGTTAAACAAAACTCACTCACGCACAGGGGCGGTCGGGTAGTCCAGTGGTAAAAGCGCTCGCTCGTCACGCCGAAGATCCGGGTTCGATTCCCGACATGGGCACAATGTGTGAAGCCCATTTCTGGTGTCCCCCATCGTGATATTGCTCGAATATTGCTAAAAGCGGCGAAAAACCATACTCACTCACTCACTCACAGACGTGTTTCACTCACAGACGTGTTGTATGAGAGGACCTGTCACTCAAAGCGAGTTTAGCGCCAAGAGTGTGCATCACCCTTAAGGACTTTAATTTCACCTCACAGCAACTGTATGCGAGGACATTTTCAAGGAGTTTTTAACTTTTATTTACCGTGTGTCAATAATTGACAACGTGTCTGCATGAAAAGTTATTGCTCATTTTCTTTTCATGATATTCGCCTTAATGCCAATACGAAAACTCTTCTTCTCCAATACATTCGGAAATATTCATTCTCTCACTCCCTGATGATTTGCAAAAGTGACGTAATTAGCGTTTCCTGGCCGCCAAACTGTATGGCGAGAATGTTTCGCGGGAGAGCCATAATGTCCTGTCACCACTTTTACAAGTTTTGAGTAAATGATATTATACCATTTGAAGTGTTGTAAAATATTAACTTTAAAAAACAATATGCATTTATTTCAGATGAAATAAACAAATACAAAAAATATATATATTATACTGTGCGTCAAATATTGTAACGTAACAGTCGTTTAGACCTGAGATCGGTTTGAGAAATCGAAGTCAAATTCTGGATAAATGGGAAAAGGCGAAAATGGCAACACAGCAAAACGGAACCTTTTTCGGTTGACTAAACGACACCAAATTGGTTATAACGGAACCAAACTGGAATGCTAAATGTCATGTCAAAAGACAAATGTTCAAACAATCTGATTATATGAACATACCCGAATGTACAATCTGGACTCCAGCGATATGCCGGCGGTCAGTCGATAATCGAGTCTTGACCAGATAATCCATTGATCCACTCAATTTGGAAGCGATGACATGCACCAGCGAACCTGACCAGCCGATCCTATCAGTCGCCTCTTACGACGAGCATGGGTTGCTGAAGACCATTTCTAACCCGGATCTTCACGGGACGACCTCGATTTGTCTGTAGTGATACATAATACATCGATACAGCTCGACTATGTAATCTACCGCAACAAATACACCCATACACCCGCACCAAGTACACGAAAACTCTCGCACCAAGTACACCCATACACCTGCATCAAGTACATCCATACTCCCGCACCAAGTACACCCATACACCCGCACCAAGTACACCCATACTCCCGCACCAAATACACGCATACTCCCGCACCAAGTACACCCGCAGCAAGTACATCCATACACCCGCACCAAGTACCCTCGCACCAAGTACACCAATACACCCTCACCAAATACACGCATACTCCCGCACCAAGTACACCCGCAGCAAGTACACCCATATACCCCACCAAGTACACCCGCACCAAGTACACCCATTCACCCGTACCAAGTACACCCATACACCCGCACCAAGTACACCCATTCACCCGCACCAAGTACACCCATACACCCGCACCAAGTACACCCATATACCCGCACCAAGTACACCCGCACCAAGTACACCCATACACCTGCACCAAATACACCCATACACCCGCACCAAGTACACCCATTCACCCGCACCGAGTACACCCATACACCCGCACCAAGTACACCCGCACCAAGTACACTCATACTCCCGCATTAAGTACACTCATTCTACCACACTAACTGCACTTATACTCTCGCATTAAGTAGATTCATACTCCCGCAATAAGTACACCCATACTCCCGCATTAAGTACACTAATACTCCCGTACCAACTACACTCACACACCCGCATTAAGTACACCCATACTCCCGCATTAAGTACATCCGTGCTCCCGCAATAAGTACATTTATACTCCCGCACCAAGCACCCCTATACTCACGTATCAAGTACACTCATATTCAGTTGCCATAGAGATAACGAAAATGGTTTGTGTACCACATCGATGTTCTTCGAGAGAAATTGATGCAGTCATCCGTAACTATCGGATCCGTCTTGTGTACAAGTCCAGAAGACAACATCCATGGTCCACGCTGCGAGAAATAGTGCATTTTCATGAGTTACCACATGTTGGAATAAGGTTTGGAATTGTTACATCACGCAACGAAAAATGATATTAACATGCGCAGTTACATCTGTGCGTCTTTATACGCCAGATGTTAGAAGAGTAGACTCAGAATTACTCCCACGTATACCTAATGGTAAAATTAATGGGAATTAAAAAGATCTTCCTCAACTGTTTCCATATTGTTTGAAAGTGATGCAAATAATAAGAATATTTACATATACTCCGAACGTGATGGAGTGGGAGTGTTTGCCTGTTATGTAACGTCTCCATAGAGTTCCAGATGTTTGAAGTGTATTGGACATGTGTCATTATTATCGAGTGTGTATGTATACTGTAACCTGATATCAAACCCCTGTGCCAAGTAAGCTCATTAGGCTAGTGGTTCGCCATGACATGGAGATGGCGTGATTGTGGCGATTGTGGGAGTATTGAGGCCCCATAATCTGCTGCTACTTGGAGTTCTTTGCTTTGAATCGAAAGCATGAGCCTACAAATGTTTGTTTGTTTGTTTGTTTGTTGTTTAACGCCGCACACATAAATATTTCAGCTATATGACGGCGGTCTTTAAATAATCTGGAGTCTGGAAGAGACCATCCAGTGATTGACATCATGAGCATCAATCTACACCATTTGGATACAATGACATGCATCAACCAAATCAGCGAGCCTGACCACCCGACTCCGTTAGTCGCCTGTTTCGACAAGCATGGGTTGCTGAAGGCCAATTCTAACCGGATCTTCATGGGTCGCCTATTTACGAATAACGCCCTGAGGTTGAGCTGGATCTCCCAGCACAGCATGCAAATGAAAATGCTCATTCGGGCTTCTCAAAACTGTTAATGTTGCAAATGCCAACTTCGAGATAAAGGTACACAATTCTATAATAAAATCAAGGTTGGAACCGAGTACAAAGTTCAAGACAGTGCTATGTA